TTATCAGAGCAAGATGGCGACCAAGTAAATCAATGTAACCTCAATTACTTATTAAGAAAGGTCTCGGTTGGAATTTTCCTACGATTCGGTAAGAAGCGGCAATTACAAAAACAAGGATATATTTGTACTAACGATTTGTACGATTAGCGTAAAATAATTTGTAATTAGCCATTTCAATGATTTCGCTATCAATAAATATAATAATGAATAAGTAATATTATAAACCACTATTTGCTTAGTTTTGTAAGTAAATAGTTGAACAAATAAAATTTTAGTGAAACTTGTAAAATTAAGCGGGTACAGTTAGTTTGATTATTTAATGGAAATTTTATTATCTTCATGAATATAATTAGGAAGTTGTATCGGTTTAGCTGTTATACCTATTTAACACTAAAACATAAATTGTTTATATGAGTCATAAAAATGATTTGGATATCAGAATGGTGACTATTTTAAGGTTCCTTTTTCTTGTCAGCTCGATATTTACATTAGTAAACAGAAGTTTTTTTTTTAATATCATTAACCAAATTTATATAAGTCTCAAAAATACTTTTGATTATACAAATAACGATTGAAATTGAAACAAAGCGTTTTTATAGTTGGATTTCGTCAACAGAAATAAGATTACTTCTGTAAAACGAATTTCTCATAATTTGAAAAAGACGACTAAGTGTTTACTAACATTAAATCATCATCATCATTCCCCTGCCCTTATCCCAATTTTATTTGGCATGTCAAAGTAACATTAAATAAGAAAAAAAAATGTGGTACCTTTATATCATAAAGATGAGCTATGATCTGCACAAGGAGTAATATTTGCGAAGGTGTCCTAACGGTTTGGTTAACGGTAGCATTCATTTGCTATTCATAGACCTACCGCGTATAAGACGAATAAGAATTTTCGTAGGAGCAGCTTAAGACGGGACTTTTACCGTATTAGTATTAGTTTTTGTTTGACATTTCTTAAATTTAGAAAGCGAGATACTTTGTGTTATATATATCTATTATTTTTTATTAAAATATGATCAAAAAGAAATATAACACTTTTGTTACATAATTTATGTAAATTGTTGTAGCTTGGGACCTTAATTAGCTTTTTAACCTATATAGAATTTTCTCCTTTGAATCACGCGGCATTTGCATATAGGATCTCTGTTAAGACCCCATTAAAATCCTGTTATGTTATCATGAAGATCATGTAAAATTTAAGTATTTTATAAATTTTCCATTCCGCCTTAAAATATACGAGCTTTTTCGAATATTCTACAAAAACGATTATTAAATCGGAGTAGCAATGTTTGAGTGATACGCCTGATTAACAATTCATATTTTTATTATTATTATTTTTATATATAAATTATTTATTTCTTTCTCTATTCCATCCATAGGGAAGGCCTGGACCCCAGCAGTTGGGTTATTACTTATTACAATGTGGTTTTACTAGATATTGTAAATCAGTTATTAATTAAACAAGCAGAACTTCTCACTAATAATAATGGATATGATTTTTGGAAATATGTCATGATTTTTGAACATTTTTTTGTGTGTTGACTATTAAAATATTAAAACTTATTTTCTTGAGTAGTGTAGGATTGTACGAAACTTATAGGTTAAACAATATTATATGTTGAGAAAATGTATTTTTAGAAGTATTTGGTTCTTAAATAAAAATTGGAATCAGATATATTAACGCATATTATCAATTTAATGCTTATATTGCAGTTATTATAGTTTCAAATAATTAACAAGAAGTCTTCTTATACGTCTGATTTCTTTCCTTTTTTTAATTGTTGGTTTTTAATATTTTTGTCGTAAAACTTTAATAACAAAATCTTACGGAGCTAAAAAAATAAATGAAAAGTAAAAATTTAAACAAATGGAAAAGGTGTTTTGCTTTGCATTGCTAAGAAAGATTTTTTGTTGAAAAAGTACTCGTTCTACAGTTTGTACTTCATTCTCAATATTATACAATTAAGTTTATCAAAAAAAGGACATGAGAAACCTGCAAGAAACATCGGCAAAATCTCTTCTTGTGTTATGCGAACACGTGTTTAGTAATCTACGTTTCATTCACCTTGCTAGGTGTTACATTATTAGAACTCTTCGTGCATATCGACAAACTGTAATGTGAGAATGTGATGCACTGCTTCAACAATTTGCTAATGAACAGAGCTCACTATGACAACATCCACTTCAAGAGAAACAAAACTTTAATACATAAACGTTACATTCTAATTTTACGCGTATCGAACTCCAAGTTGAATGAGCATTGTATGCGTAAACATTAATCAATGCCATGGATACGATTCCAAAGGTCGTGAAGTACCTTGGTAATACGCAAATCTTCAATTACTAAGTAGCTGAACGATTGACTAGTAAGACGCTGGAACTAAAACTGGCATTTATATTTTTGAGAAAAGTAAATAAAGTAAAAGTGACTAACCGTGTATCAATAAGTCTTTCTCTTTCCTGTTTTATGTATTTTTTTTTTTATATATTGTTGTCACTGTCAGTTTTTCTAGAATTATTACTTCAATGGGCAAAACTGAGCTGAAACTAGTTTTGATGATACACAACATTGCCTTTTAATTGTTATTTATATCGGATATTTTTATTGTGTATGTTATAGATGTGGTAAAATAAATGTTTAATACTCTTCTAAAACATACCATAATTCATCAAACCATAATTGCACGAATTAATAAATAAAGTTTATATAGTATTATTACACATATTGTTCGAATATGTTAAGCACCATTCCACCAATTCTTGAATTTTAAACCGAAGAAATAACTCATTAATAAAAAAAATAGATATCTTACACCTATTTTACGTTACGTTCGAATCTGAGGGTACAAATTCGGCGGGAATATCTTAAATACATGTTCGAAATTCAAGTATATTTAGATTATTTTTATAATGATTCTATTCTCTGTATAAGTATTTAATTATGAAAAGAGAAACATCTTCTTTTAAACTCTAGTATATTTTGGATATGGCGACGATCTAAAACCGGCCCTGAACCACTAGATGACGGAAGTCATCGAAAGACCTGTACAAATTTTCTATTCCTTTTTTTTATTCTAATTTTATCGAGTATATATGAACATGTTTTAAAAATATTAATTATTAAATCAAAGCTGCATGTACATTAGCACTATATTTATTATCATTTATATCGATCGCGTCATAGAGAATAGAGATAACGCTGGACGGCAATGGCGCAGTTCAAGCTGAAATGCGTAGCGTTTCTAAGAAAAATTTGTAAAGGCATTGCTATTGCAGTTTGATATGGATACTTGTTAACTACAACAATAAAAGTAATAATAAAGCTATCACTAATAACCATTATATAATTCGAACTTTAGCCGATACTAAGTTACTTAGACTATTTGTTGAAATTATATCGTACTTATAAGGAAATAATGATCGTTTAATATAAATTAAATATCCTTTTAACACAGACAAATGTGAAGGAAATTACGTAATACAATTATAAATATACTTATAGACATACCCGCATCATCCGTATGTAGGAAATTAAATATATCTTTATATAATTTTCTAAATATAAATCCTACAAAATATCTATACAAATAGCACTTTAAATGTTTATACGGGTATTATACATTTATCACCAATTCATGTGTATTTTTGAATTATATAACAAATATTAAGACTAAATAAATAATAAAGAACTAAAAATATAACAAAAAGAAAAATAATGTAGGCTCCTAGTCTAACATAATTACTAACAAATAACTAAGAGTTCCCGTAGAAATCAGTAGGTAATATATACCTGGTAAGTGTCCATTCCAATATTTAAATAAAAAAAAATAATAATCATACTCATTATTTAACGGATATGCATAATTTTGAAGTACAAAAGTTTCTACACATTCAAGATATAGAAACTTCATTAATACTTTTATTTTAAATAAAATTAATAAGCAAGTATTTGATTACCACCAAGCCAGGTAAAACGCTTATAGGTACATATATAGCCGAGAGCATGCCGAGATGATGAGATCTTTGTATGTGTAAAGCATTGAAAATAAACTTCTGCCTTTAAATGCTACTGGATGAGTAATTCAACTTTCCATTATTTCACTAAAACGATATTTGCTTTAGATAAATTTTACCAAGTTTTTCGGAAAAAAATTAGTAATTTATTTTGAAAGTAACAAAAATGAAACAAACGACAATTTAAAAAAAAAACTGAAATGGCATCGTTCCGAAGTCTTGTAGAATTTTGTTTTCTAGTGTAATGCGTAATCAGTGGACTACAGCCAAGTGATTCACTTCAGGAATGCCCTTAAAATGTAAAAACTTCACTTCTTAGAAAAATAATTGAGAATCATAGGAAGAATAAAATGTATAGGCAATGATTTTATTTTTGAGACTTCGAACATGATATGCACCGTTTGGATTGAGGAGAGGAACTAAAAAGCGGAGTGTTTCGTATATTCCGTCTGTGGTTATAGAGGTTCAGCAACTTTCGCAATAACATAACCGGATGAGTGACCAAAAATTTATTATCTCCTTGTAAAGATGTTGGTCCCGACTACACATGCAGTAATTATGAGTTCTTGATAATATTAATACTAAAAATGCGAAAGTTTGTGAGTATAGGACGTTTGTTACTCTTTGACGCAAAAACTACTGAAAGGATTTTGATGAAATTTCATTTAACTCTTTTATCTCATTAAACGATTACCGAAGTACCACGATTGTATACAGCTTTGTGCTCTAGAAAAAATATCGTTTAATAGCTGAGTACAAGAAGAACCAAAGTTGCACCTACGTATTTGATGCCTGTGACACGTCATGATACACTCTCGTTCGAAAGTTCATTTTTATTGACTTAAAATATTAACGTTGAATAATTAAAGTCTATATTTCAAGAAGAATTCCATCGGTTTTAGCTCTCTTCTGAACTGGTAAATGTTTATCCTATACTTAAGAAAATTATATGTACTTTTGTTTATAAATAATCCTACCTTCCATCCAGCAGAAGAGTTGCTGTCGCCCTTATCCTTAAAGTATGGCACGTTCTGGACCATCCACTCGTAGATTTGGGACAACGTCAATCGGTTGTCTTGTGCCGAGGTGATGGCTTGGGTTATGAGATCAGCGTAAGATAGGTTGCCCCAAGCATTGCGCCGGGACGAATTTTTCTTAGCCGTTACCGAGGAAGGCAGTGGTGGGGCTCCTGCAATAATACATTACTAATTAATGTTATTTTTACTTAAGATGACTGTTACATGATTTTTGTTTACATTCTAGTCAAATGACAGATGAAAATCAAAACAAATATAAAATTTCTATTATAAAATCTGTTTTATAAAATAAATTATTTATTAAAAAACTTCAGAAATTCTATGAAGAACGAGTCCCGATTACTATTAATCTGTATAATTTGTTTTAAAGTGTTTCTTGCTATAACCTAGTTCAACGAAAGAATATATCGTAAAATTTAACTAGATATAATTATTGCGCCCATGTAACAATGTCTACACACAAAAAAAAATGTACACAAATAAATAAGTTTCTGGTCTTTAGGAGAGGACAAAATATTTATACATAGATTAGGAAAATTTTTGGTCCCTGCGTAGTTTTAGAGTTTCAACTTTATCAAGCACGGAAAGAAATATTCAACTAAGATAATTATACCAGTTTATAATACAACAATGCTTCGAGATTGAAATGATGATCAGTATAATTAAATTGTTTAGTTTCGTTAGGTTGTCTACAAACAAACATTAAAAGATAAATAATAGTTATTATGTGAAAATTGAATAACTGCCATTGAATATGTTTCGAACTGTTAAAAAATAAAACGTATTAACTTATAATATTAAGGTTTATTAACATATACGTTTATCTCACTAAATTAATGATTCCCTCGGGATAAAAATACTGTCAAGCCATAACGTAAGCTGCGCGGGGCAAGCTGCTGATATAAGGTAGTTTATAACTACGGCCTAGTAGCCGTAATACCTAGTGGTATTTGTGGTACAGCGCTAATAGTCGTGGCGCGTAATCCCGTAGGTCATTGTGACGTCACACGATTGGAGCCAGGGAATCTCGGCGAACAGGCGATGTAAAAATTTTAAATGATATTGGCAGTTAGCATTTTTCATGAATTGTTTTAAGATTTTGTCATTAATATTTCCGAAAAGGGGGCGTTTTAAATATAACTTAATTATTGGCTGTAGCAGAACTATAATAAATTTACAATTAAAATTTACACGAAAATTAGTACTGTAGCCGCTATCGTAATAAAAAATATAGAAATAAACATAATACCGAAATGCGGAACTTATAGTATTTTGTCGCTTTTTTGGAATTATATTATCACTTTTCTTTGGTTGTAGTTGTAGTCTGTCTGTTAATATAACGGTTATTTTTCAGATAGTATCATTGAAATTTCGCAGGTAATCATATCAAATCAATAAATGAATTTTACAAGTGAAATATAAATACTGATTTTAAGTCTGTATTATAAAAAAACACAAAAAGTTATTTAAATTTAATCTATTAATGAATTATTAAATTAATGAATTTACTCATTTTGTAAGTTTTGCGTAAAAATATAAAAATAGGCTTTTTGAAAAAACTGTGTAGCTTAAAGCTTCATATTTTATTAAGGTATTTGATAACATCAATTTAGAAAATTCGCTTGAAGGTGCTTGTCCCAAAAAACTAAAAAGAACGAATATCGTGAAACATTGGAACCGTTAGATGTAGCCTTAAGTTAACCAAGGAAAACTATCAAATATATTCTTTTTGTTTTTTCTTTTTCAGAGAATTGGTTATCACATTTTTAATGCAATATTTTTTTAGAAAAAATATTATTATTGTTGTGTAGTCTACCGTTCATATTAAAAAGTTATTCCTAATTAAAATAATATAAAAAATAATACTTAAAAATGTTATTGTTTATTCATAAAAAAATATATATATATTTGAATTATTTCTATTAATCGTTTACCTTTGTAAATTGTTTCAGCGAGATTGATAAACAGTTATCAAATCTTAGTAATTTAATTTTTTTATATATTTTTTATAAAAACAAATATTTGTGATTTTGAAATGGTACCTTTATAGTTTTCATAAAACAAATGTTTGTGATTTTGAAATGGTACCTTTATAAAGTCAAACTCACGAAACGAAGGGTCTAATTTGAAAACGACTTACTTGCTTCTAACAGCTTTATTAGTATCGCTTTACTTAATTAAATTTTTCCATAAATCAAATGAGCCAATTTTTGGTACAAAGGGCATTTCAACAAATCAATATTAATTGTCTTTTGTACAAATATCTAAGAATTTTATTCACTTATGAATGTTTTAAATACTTTTTAACTTATATGAATAAATTAACGTGCTATCTTTAACAAAACGTATACTAGGTAGTTTTACTGCAGAGCGGTGTGTTACGCTTTTAAACTCGGCATTTCACGTCGATTGCAAAAAATAAAATAATCCAATACACTAGGATTGGATTTATAAACTTATAATAAATTTATCCTTATTTTCTACTCTCCATTTCTTAAGGACTAAATAAATGACTTATGACCGTAAAAACTTAAGGCTGGTATAAAGTCCTGTATTTTCATTCAAGGAAAACACGTGTAAAGTGAGGGTTCCGAGATTTGTTGCCGTTTGAGCATGTGCATTTGTCTGCAGGTGGGCGGTTTGCGGCAGGTCTTGCAGATACTAACTGGCTGCGGAATTTATATTGTAGTTATAGCAATGGACTTTCGCAAGATAAATTTTTATTCATTAAGGACCGATAGCATTATTTTCAAATACCTAATTACGCAGACCGTTAGGATTTTTGGGATTATGGTTATTTTTTTCGTGTCAGCTTTTGGCTGTAAAGTTACTAACGCATTAATTAATTTTCACTATAAACAAATATTTCAATTACGACGAGAAATTGAATATCGTTGAATTATTTTTTGACGACGTTTTTATAAATTCCCGTTTTATGCCAGCTTCATCATTATAAATGCGATTTAATTACCTTTTTTTTTAATTACAATTTATTTAGCCTTTGGTTGGTTTCTTCGCAATTATTTAATATTGGTGAACCAAGTGCCTATTCTGTTTTACCACTGAACTACGAAAAATATATTTGTAATTGGCTTTTATCTTAGCGATATTCTGTAATCACAAATGTAATTAAAGAAATATAATTATATTCTTTAGACTACGATTTAATAAGTTAACGTCTGTATTTTTATAATTAAAACGCAGTTTGACAGATCTAAACTTAATTAAGTCTAGTTTATACAACAGAATTGCTATCATTATTTGATTCAGTACGTAGTTTAGTTCTTTTCTTCTGTTATTCTTATTTATATTTGTCTTCCCTTTGCATGTTATCCTCGGCACGCCTTCGCAAACATTTTAAATTTCGCAGCTTTGTCTTAAAATTGAAATATATCGTTAACATAATTTTAGAGTTGAACAACTACTTCATACAAACAGTAAAGGCCTTATATTATATAAGTAGCCATAATAAAATCAGAAATAAAATTCTTATCATAATGAGCTTCAGACGTTTTCATTATATCATATTCACATTATAAGTTTATCGAAATGTGTATAATATCACGAAAATAGATTTTGATATTTTCCACCTTTTTTAATAATGTACGAATAAATATGTTTACGTATATTTCTTTAATGTTAATTCTTGACATAATTCAGTATTTCCGTTCTTTGAAAAGTTCTTTCAATACAGTGTGTCATGTTTCTGGAAATCCATAAAAACCTAGGAAGACTTTTTTTTAACAAGATGAACATTACATTATTCCAATGTAAATACCTATTTCAGATGTAAATAATATTTGAAATTTTTGAAAAAGAATATAGAAAATGTGATTGTTTTAATTGCGCTTTTTAAAGTGCTTAAACGACTTATTGTTTTGGTATAGTATTTGAACATAGTATACCTATTTTAAATATTGGCTTCTTTATAATGTATTGTTTCATATGCTGATTCTGTGAATATGAGTAACAATAATTGTTTTTATCATTAACCTTTACTCGAAAAAGTAGTATGTATATACACAGCATATATATATATATATAATGCAAAATTATACTTTTTGAATAAAGTAAAAAATTGTTACAAGTTACAGTTTCTAATAAAATAATAATATTTAAACTAACTGTTCATAATCTTTATATAACATTGAATTAAGTATTTGTAAATAAACATTGGTTTGTTTTTGTTTTGACTTACAACAAATTTATATAGGATAAAACAGATTATCTGATTTTACAGATAGCTAATATTAATTGCGTTACATTAATTTTGTGATTGGGTTGTAACTTCATTGCAATTTTATAATACTTTTGAATTATTGATAACAAGACTAGCATTTCTAGTAAATATGAATTTCTTGTTTCAATATCGTGACTCGTCATGATATTTTGTTATTGGGCTTACACACGAACGGGCCGTCGCGCCGTGACAAGGTACGTGGGCGACCTAAATAGCGTATTGCGACCGCGACCCCGCTATCAGAAGACTCATATTTACCAGGCAGGTTCTGGTTAGAATTCTTCTTAGAGCCCGCGTCCTCTACAGGGTCCACGTAGTTGTCTGGCCTCGGCTGTGGCCACGTGTTAGATCGCGCGCGCGTTTGTGGCTCAAAACCGGCTTCGGCGAGCTCTCCCAGAGGCTCCAATTCCCCCATTGTTCCTTCTAACTCTGCCAGCCCGGTCTGCGAAGACCACGGACTCTGAAATCCGCCGCTCCCCTGCAACGACATTGCTCCCGCCTAGATTTCGATCAGTGGAATTTTTCCGGAGGTGTGTCGAACCGACCTCACCACCGCGTGCCGATGCCGATCATTAGCATCTCAGCACATTCGCCTTTCTGATTTCTATAATTCTTTCTATTTCCAGAACGTCGCCGGACTCGGGCCGTGGTACGCAGGGGTTATCTATCTTTTCCTTATCGGCTCTGTTATTCGAAGCCAATAACATGTGGCGTCTCACTGTTCATAAACAGCGATGTGCGCCGAGAGTCGGCCGTCGGACCGTTCCAGAGAGACGATTTTCGCTAAATATAAGCGCGGTCGAGGCGGGGGCGGGGCGCAACCACGTGAGCGACTACGCGCCGATTTTTCAATTCATCACTGACGGACTAGAGGCGCGATAACCTTGTAACGTGGCTCGAAACCATCAAAAACACTGAAACGGCTACGATACGAGTCACTGACGGTGTCGTGTGTGTTGTCACTGCGCAATTTCGGTGTCCTTCCGAGTTCTTTGGGCACTTTGAAACTTTTACACACTGATAAGAGTTATCACTGGTAGTGTTTTGGGGGTAATTTTGAGGGTATTCAGTCGTTTCGTGAGGTTCTAAACACAGTAATTGTGTGCACTTTCCACTTGAGTCCACGCGGTCAGCGGTGTTGGCTACTGCGTAATAAAGTGAACGGTGCACGTATACAGCGTATCGTCGTCGGCCGCGAACGGTCGCACGTACACTGAACTACGTCGCGAGTGGAGGCGCGTCGCGCGAATTCCGGCGGCGGGCGACTGGTCGGGACGCGGGAGGGAGACGCTGATAGAGAGCGTCGTGCGTGTGACCGGCGTCTCGGCTGCGCTCGCTGCCACTCGGCTCGCCTTCGCATTTATAATAGTCCGAAATTCTTTTCACTGTTTATCGGAGCGAAGCGTGTGTAGGCAGACCCCGAGTGTCCTTGATCCTCGCGTACGCAGGTTGCAATAGCACGTGTCGAACGCGCCACTTTTGAGATGTTTTCAATGAACTCTACGTTACTTATTAGTTAAAATAAATTTCAACGCATTATATTGGTTGGTTCACAGCTCTCACGTTGCCTGTTTGTGACTAAGAAAATTATCATTGCGTTTTAACACCGCAAATAACTTCTTGGTAAAACCTAAGCTAGGTGATAATGTTTATTATGCATCTTCCTACTTGCACTCGTGAGATATTTCCTCGTAGTAGGTATGCTGATAATAATAGTACAGAATAGCAAGATATGATTGTTATTGTTTTATTACTGGATTAATTTAATAGAACGGATGTGTCTTTCTGTGTCGTAATTTTCTTACAGTGCAATTTGTCAAAATTGTTTAGATAGGAAAAATAAGATTATTAGTATCATTAAATATTTGTTATTATATGTTTCAAAGAGATAGCAGTGCATCTACGTTATTTGTGTTAGGCCCGGTTTTTCGTAGCAGCTTCGTAGCATACATAGGTAATGAGTGTTGCCATGTCTGCAATTTGATTTATACATAAGTATAAAAATGAGTAAATATTTGATGAAATGAAATGAAATGAAATGAAATGAAAATATCTTTATTCAAGTAGGCTATTACAAGCACTTTTGAATCGTCCAAAAAACTTTTTTCCCCTACCACTTGTTCAGGACGTCTTTTAGCTGACAAGAAGAACAAGCGAAAGAAACTTATCAGCTTTTTATCATAAGTAATGACATTTACATAAATCATGTCATTACCAAAATAATATGTATTATCAATTTATCACAATAGTAAATACAACTTTCAAAGTCTGTAGGACATAAGTTGAACATATAATTAGTCTTTATAGAACAAAACGAAGGCTATTAATTCCATGCATTGCGATTCTTAAAATAATCATCAACTTTATAATAGCCTTTACTCACAAGTATATTCTTTACATGAATTTGAAATTTATTTATGGGTAGGTCAATTACATTTTGTGGAACTTTATTGAACATAGCAATACATTTACCCAGAAATGATCCTCTGGTTTTTTGAAGTCTGAAGCTTGGAACGGCAAGTTTATCTTTATTTCTTGTGTTAAGATTATGAACACTACTTTTTTTTGTGAAGGAATCGTAATGTTTTCTTGTATACATAATATTCTCATAGATGTATTGAGAGGCAACAGTCAGAATATTTATTTCTTTAAATATTTCTCTTAGAGATTCCCTAGACCGTAAATTATATATAGCACGGACAGCTCTCTTTTGTAAAATAAAAACATCCTGAATGCTAGCCGCAGAACCCCATAACAATATACCATACGTCATTACACTATGAAAATAACTAAAATATACCAATCTTGCCGTTTCAACATTTGTCAAGAGTCTAATTTTCTTAACAGCAAAAGCTGCAGAACTCAGTCTACTTGACAAGCCCTTGGAGAAGATGGTTAACACAAACAAAACTTTGTCATATATTTCCATTTAGATTATTTCCCGTCTACATCTTCTACTTGGTAGTATAATATCGCTTGCTAATTTAGGTGCCATGATACGAGTAATAAGTTCTTAACATGTAGTGCTGCGTTTAAATTTAAACTATATGCAAAACATCTGTTATATACTGTAAAAAACTAGCAATGAAATCACAAAACTTAAAACAATATTGACGTATTTTTTAAATATATTTAGATAAAAGATTAAACAATTGAGCGCGTAAAGCAAATTGACAGTAAACGTCAAATTGAGATTAGATAAGATAAAAAACGCTTTATTGTACCACACCCAACAGAGATAAATAAAGAATAACTTACAAAATAAATAAATTATTTATTTTTGGCAGATTATGGCTTAAATCTAGTACTTAAGTTAGTCCTCGTTTTATAATAAAACGGATTGTATTGTAAAAAAAAGGATGCTCAAAGTATTCATATTTGCATCAATAATAATTAAAGAAATTTTAAAGGTGTTCTACGAGTATAATTATGAAATTAGGTCCGAAAATCGGTTAAATTTTAGATAAATTAATTAAAACTTAAATTTATTACATTATATTCCATCTGATCGATAATTGTAAATTATGTCATTTTTCTATAATTTAAAAGGGAAGAGTGAATGTGACTGTGGTTATTTCTATTAGTATTATAGCACTGCCTACGTCAGTAAAGCTTCGATTGAATCACATAAGAAGGTAACAAAAAATTTTCTTTGTGAATATTTCTATTTTATTTTTATATACTGATAATAAAATAATTCTAGCTCGGTGGCGTTGTGGATAAGCGCCGCAGCCCGCGATCGTAGTCGTTAAGCAACTTTCGCAAGGGTCGGTCACGGGATGGGTGACCAAAAAATTATTATCTCGAGCTACTCCGTGCTTTGAAAGGCACGTTAAGCCGTTGGTCCCGGCTGCATTTGCAGTCGTCGATACCCTCCAATCCGTATTTGGCCAGCGTGGAGGGTCATGGCCCATCCCCCTTAACCATCCATAAGGAAGGCCTGAGCCCCTGCAGTGGGGACGTAAAAGGGCTGGTGGTGTGGTGGTGGTGGTGAATAAAATAATTGAAGAGATTAAAGAATGTCGATGATTGTAAATTATTCTCTTAATTTCAATACAGTATTCAGTGTCAAGGTAGGTATTTACCGTTCCGTTTTTGCAAGAAAGAAATACCTTAACAGAAAGTGAATGAATGAATGGTGAATAAATTTTTCTCCTTATGTCCATTCCGATGATAGTGCAACAGCCGAGCCATATGTTTTTAATAAGGTGTATTGTTTGTGAAGTAAGGGCTTGTAGGGTTCGGGCGTGTAGACTAAGAAACTTGGTTCTAAGAGATCTGATAACTTTATAACAGTGCGAGTCATATGGTCTCGGCTTGACAACATTTTACATGAAAATGTTTTTGGTGAGATAAAATATTATTTTTAATAAAAACATTTTAACACTTGATATGGTTTTAGTTTTTTTTATAATTACTAATAATATAGCATGTTCTTTTTTTTTTCATTTAAATAGAATCAAAGTAACAATGATACAAGAATAAGGACCAATAACTAAAATAGTAACTTGTAACTGTCGAAAAACAGAAGTACTGGTGATAAAATTAATGATTCGAACAGCAATTACAATTATATCATCCTTATAACTGTTCCGCAAATTATGCACAATGATATGAACTGCACTGTAATCTCAACTGTTTGAACCATTACTTTAACTGTCAAAATTTTACTGTTTTGCAACAGTAAAAAGTTACTGTCCTTATGTTTACTGATATTTTTTTTTCAAATATTGAACGTAGTTGATGAAAATGCAATATAACCGGTCCCAAAATAAAAACGGCAACATTGTAGTACCGTAAAGCAAATGCCGCGAAGATTACCTCCCACGAGATTTGTATCAGGTGTTAATAATAGGGTAGTTAATAGATTTTCGGAGAGCTTAGGGCCTCAATTAAAGGTTGGATGGACATTAGGAGAGATTAACTGAGTGCACATGTTAAGTTTCACTTAAAACGGTAATATAATTGCCTCCCAGGGTCTAGTGCATTTACCATAAATTTTCGGAATGCGAAAGTGGGTTAAATATGTTGTAACTTTGTTGTACACCGTTAATTTTTAATTACCCCAGAAATTTCAATTTGCTCATGTAAAGTTTTATCAGTAACTATCATTTAACAAGCGGAGTTTTATAAAAATAACGTTTTGTGAAACTTGAAAATATACATTGGGTTGAATCAAAAACATGCACCGTTTAATACAGAATTAGAAGTTGAGTACATTTTGATTCAATACGATGTAAAGAAAAATAATAAAAAATATACACGTAAGTGTAGCTATATAGTAGACCCACCGGTCGTTTTTGATTCCGATGTAGAAAATGAACTTTTCTTTACACTTGATCACTCAACATTTCTATATACTTAATCCACTTTGACTCATGCTGTAATTTAAAAAAATGTCCTTTTCTAATAAATTAATTTTTTAAAGGCGATTTATTGTTGTTGCTATTGTCTTAAAACATAGGTTGTTCGGAAAGTATTTTTTTTCAACGGAGTACCTTATCGCATTTTTTTTCACAACCAAAATCACAATTGATCGAGATAAGCATTGCATAAAAAGTTAAAAGAATTGTCCGTATCTTTGCCAAACATATTTGTTTTCTTTCAATTTTCCATCTCGGATAGTATAGAAAATTGAAAGCAATGTTTTCAGTATATTTTGGTTTATATTATCTAAAAGTTCTATATAATTGCAGTTCAGTCAAGACTAAAATTATGTTACACGTATGGAGAAGACAGCAAAAGGACAATATGAAATTCTGCAAAAATTATTTTTTACGGGAAGATATTTACTTCCTTTAAGGGCGTCAAATATCCACTCGAGCCAGTTTTTGGCTAATAAACATCATATTTTTTGTTTTACGTGTTATCAATTTCCTGCCCGAAAGACTGCAAAAGCACCAGAAAGATGAATAAATCTTTTAATAAAAGCTCGCGTATTTTGAATTTTTCCAGCGAACCTCAAACGAATTTTAAAATTGATAGTTTCGGAGCTTATTCGATGTAAACAATCAATACAATATTTCCTCTTTATTAAATATGTGTGCTACTCTTAGGCCGTGGGGTGCCGGCCTAAGAGTAGCACCCCCCCATATCCTCCCGTGGGTGTCGTAGGAGCCGACTGACCGACGGAAGGCGGGCAGCAGCGCCTCCCGGTATCACCTACCACCACCTACTGCGATCCCCAAGTCGCCTGCCAAGCGTGGGGATTATGG